CTTCCCCGTGGCCTAGGCTGAGGGGTGGCTGCTCTGGCCAGGGTGAGGGACATCTGAAGGAGTCCTGCTGGGGGGTGTCCCCCCAGCACAGCCTGTGCACTAGCAGTGTTGCCTGCTCCCCTGTGGCTGTGGGTGGGCAGAAGGCAGCAGTGAGAATCCAGCTGTCTCAGCAGCAGTTTCTGCCAGAATGAGCTCAGCCAGTGATGGAAGCATCCTGGCTTGTATTAGAAATAGGGTGGCCAGCAGGACTGGGAGATGATTGTCCCTCTGGACTTGGCACTGGTGAGGCCACACCTCAAATACTGGGGTCAGCTTTGGGCACCTCAGTATGAGAAGGACATGAAGGTGCTGGAGCAGGTCCAAATAAGAGCAATGAAGCTGGTGAAGGGCCTAGAGAGCAAGTCTTGTGAGGAGCAGCTGAGGGACATGGGGCTGTTTAGTCTGATGAGAGAGAAGCTGAGGGGAGACCTTATTGCTCTCTACAGCTTCCTGAAAGGACGTTGTAGTGAGGAAGGTGCTGGTCTATTCTCACAAGTCACTAGTGATAGAACAAGAGGGAATGGCCTCAAGCTGCTCCAGGGGAGGTTTAGACTGGACATAGGAAAGAACTTTTTCACTGAACAGTTTGTCAAGTATTAAAACATGCTGTCCAGGGCAGTGGTGGAGTCCCCATCCCTGGATGTGTTTAAAAGCCGTGGAGATGTGGGGCTTGGGGATATGGCTTCGAGGAGGATTTGGTAGGGTAGGGTTAATGGTTGGACTCCATGGTCTTAAAGGTCTTTTCCAACCAAAGTGATTCTGTGATTCTAAGATGCCAGGCCTCATCTGACCTCCACAGACACCCTCACTTCTGCTCCCAGTGCTGACAGCCACATCACAACAGCAGCAGGTCAGTACCATGGCACTGCGAGGCACAACCTTCAGTTGCCAGGCACCCTCCGTGTTTGCTACCTCACTGCAACACCCTGCAAAGTTCATCCTGAGCTACCCAGGGCCCCGTGGAGAGACAGGAGGAGGCTCTTGTGCTCACCTGTTGAGTGCTGCACTCTTGATAGAGGGGTCCAACATCCCTGGGCTGACTCACCTGGAATGAAGGCACCTCCCCGTCTCCCGGTGACACCATCTGCCAGGGAGCAGGGACACTGGCATTGAGTGAGAATCTGTAGATGGCTGGCCTTCCCTTGCTTCTGGACTTGGAGATATACACAGTCCCCTGGAGATCTGAAGGAAACAGAGGGCATGTGGGCAAGTGGTACTTCACAATGAGCAAATCCTACAGAGGTGGGCAGCAGCAAAGGATGGTCTTTTGGAGCAGCACAGCACACCTCCCAAAGGTTTTCACAAACATATCCTGAGCTGCAGTCATTCCTGATGGCTTATTAGTGTCATCTCAGGACCTGGCCCAATAACTCTTTTATCCTCAAAACCCCATGTAAAACAGGCTGAATTTACTCTCCTCATGGCCTGCCAACAAGGTTCTGACACAGGGCTGGGATGCCCAAGCTCTGAGCTCCAAGCCTTGCACTCAGACCAGAGGGATTTGTCCCTGCCACCTGGCTTATAGGACCATGGCCCAGAGAACAGCAGGTAGTTATGGGGAGGGGGATTGTACTGATGCCCCTTACAACCAGCACCAAGCTAGAGACCAGCAGGGCAGGGTCTGAGGAGGATTATTCCCCATCAGCTATTCAGTTTTTACCCGACTGGAACCGTGGTTCCTGGGCCCAAATGTGGTCAGAGCCCTCATGCCCCCCTTACCTTGCTGCCCTGTATCACTTATGCTCCCTTTGCTTCCCCAAGGTGACCCTGAGCCCCTCTTCTTTTTCTCCAAGGAGGTTCGGATGTTGTTCTGCAAACTGTGGGGCTTTTCCTGAAACAAACCTGTCCCACAAGGTTAGTCAGGGAGGAAAAAGTGCATGGCACAAGAGACCCACCAGCCCTGTGCACACCATGGACTCTGCTATTGAACTCCAAACCCTAAGCAGGTAGCACAGAGCCCCAGCTGGTCCCTGGCACGTGGCCAGCACTTAGGAGTAAAAGTAGTCACTTCTCATGGATTTTAAAGGAATTTCACGTGCAGAAACACTCAGGCAGTTCCCTGAACAATGCAGGTCTCTACCTCACATTCCAGCTCCTCTAGCCCAGGGCTTAGGCCAGGCTGCACCCATCACTGTCTGGGGACCAGCACTCTCACCTGAGCAGGTAATGCAGGAGATCCCTTCAGCACTCAGGTTGTATTTCAGGTCTAGCAGCACCTGGATGTTCGTGTCTGGCCGGAACAGAACTGGAGCACGGCTGGCTGGATGGAGGCGGCTTGCAAAGAATATGGACAGGAGCAAAACAAGGAGAAAGAGCCCTGCAAGGAGAAGGAGAGGCTCAGGTAAGCGTGTGGGACCCTACGTGCATCCTGCACTCAGGGCATACTCAGGGGTGTGGCAGAAAGGTGGTATTTTAACAGGAAAAAGGCACAGTAAAGCACACTAGCAGCTGGGCTTTCTTATAATGAGCCCCACGCCTGGAAAAAACTATCAGGATTTCCCACTTCAGATCTGAGTGAAAGGGGAGGGGTGGAGAGTCTCAGAGTTCCTCAGGCAGTTCCCTCAGGGACCAAATGTTCTGAGGATGCTCTTCCACTGAGTTCAAACCCATCTACTATGTCCCTTTCCTCGATCTCTTGTCACTCATAATCAAGGCTCAGGGACTGAATCAGATGCTGTCAAACCCTCTAAAATCCATGCAGGTGGAATCCCCCCCTCCTTCCTCACCCACAATCACCCATCTGCTCTTCACTGCAGACCACAGCACCCAGTGTTCCAGCAGGTCCTGCAGATGAGTTATCAAGTGACCACGGTTGCTCTTCTCTGCTGGGAGCTGCAGATTTTCTGGCATCACAGACACCAAGGGGACATCCCCCATTTCCAGGGAGACTAGAAAGAGAGAGAAATCAAAGGCAGTCTCAGTGCTCAGTGTCACAAGTGACTCACAGCTGTCTTGCCCTCCTTTACAAAATCTTCTGCAAGGTGCTGTACAACTCCCTCAGGAGATGGAGTAAGACCCAGGCAGAGGCAGCAGCTTCCCAGGATGTCACAGGAAGCATCTTTGTCAAGTCACTGCCATCTGACAGCTTCACTTCTAAATTCCTCCTCTGCCAGATCCCACATTGTCCATAAGGTCACAGGGACATGCTTCTTGGGCCAGGCAAGAATTTGTCCCTGTCCCACTAAGTATGTCCTGCAGCCAACTGCAGAGAGCAGAGCTCTTCCTGACTGCAGCCTGGCTCCCCCCTGATCTCTTCCCTCCAGCTCAGGGATGCCCAGGGAACTGCCCTCTTCTTTGGGAGTGAAAAGTGGGCACTTGCTTTTCGTGGGGTGAAAATGTGTGTGGCATGCTGTACAGCTGACCCACAAGCCAAGCCTGGCCACCACCTGGAACAAGCTGCTTGCCTCTTCAGGAGTTACCTGATGCCCAGAGCTCCCTGGAGAACAGCCTCCTGCTGTTCACTGCCCCAGGGAAGGGAAGGAGCTATTTCCACACATTACCATTGCCTGTGGCTCTGGCATACTAAGGAGACAGCTTTGCAGCACAGTGCCAAGGCTGATCTGTCTGCCTATCAAAGGCAGCTCCCAGCCAGCTCTGCAGGAAGGGGGTCTGCACACTGCTGTGGGATCGATGGGCTCCCAGCCACTGATCCATCTGCCTCCAGTTCCAGTTTGCCATTAGGCTGAAAGCTACTCCCTGCCCAGACTGCTTCCATTGAGGAGGTTTAAAAGGGAGAGATCCCAGCAAGTTTGAAAAGCCAAGTACAACAGAGCATGACCCTTTAAGCACCCTTGTTTTCAATCAGGTCTAGAAGGATTATCTCCTGCTAACAACAGACAGGGAATTTCTGGGCTTTTTTTTTTTTGAGATTGCTTATGGGGTCTCAGGCAAGTCACTGCTCTCCTCCTGCAAGAGGAGGAGATGCTCTGAGGAGGTCATGCTGCAGAATAACAGTGTTCTCTTGCCTGCTGCCCAAATTCAGTGCTCTGAATGGGAGGGAAGAGCAGAATGCTCCTTACTCAAAGGCCTCCTCCTGCAAGAGGAGAAGATGCTCTGAGGAGGTGATGCTGCAGAATAACAGTGTTCTCGTGCCTGCTGCCCAAATGCAGTGCTCTGAATGGCAGAGAAGAGCAGAATGCTCCTTACTCAAAGGTGAACTGTCCTGGAGTTATGGATTAGATGTTTCATGGTTGTCACAATCACCAATTCCAGCCAGAAAGTACAGCCCACATTAGATCCAAGAGGGTCAGCAAAGTAGTTAGAAAGCATGTATCAACACTCACTGAAGATCTCAAAGCAACTCACACCCCTTGTGAGTTCAGACTCCTACAACCTTCTGTGGCACCATCATCTCCAGCTTAAAAGCAGGGAAACTGAGGCATGGACCAGTGGCAGGGCCAGGCAGACCAGGGCAGCCTGGTCACCCTGATGCACTCCACAGCAGGCACATACCAGACTCCTCCTCCACGCTGAGCAGGGGGATGTCATCATCAAGATAGGGAAGGGTCTCTCTGCCTGCTCTGGAGGTGGCCTCTGAGGCAACGTAGAGATCTTCAGCCAGGTGCAAGGCACTCTTCTTGGTGCACTTCTGACTACAGCTGGATTGGAGCAGGGAAGGAGACAAAAGCATGAGTTTCAAGCCACACATCCTGCTGAGAATCACCATGGGCTCCTTTGGTGACAAGGGGAGCAGCAACAGCCTGCTCCAATTACTTGGGAAGACGAGAGGCACTGCCAGGAGCAATTTCCATTGCTAAGTGCTGAGAGGTCAAGGGCTGAGCTGCTCTGGTGAAGCAGGAGCAGGCTGGGCTGGACACAGCAGGGCTGAGCTGTGACTGCTGGGCACTGAGTGACAGGGGCTTCAGCAGTTCATCTCCCTGCTAATGAATTAAATCAGGCCAGGTCATCTGCACTGCTAAAGAGCAGGGGAAGGGGAAACGTGCTGATTCCAAACACAAATCTGCACGCCTGGCTTCTGCTCCCAGGCAGGAGCAGTGCTGATCTGTCTGCCTTGCAGGGCTCGTGTGACCAGAGCTGGAGGATTTAGCTCTGCAGAAAGTGCTCCCAGGACACAAATGGCTCCAGCACTCCACAGGATTCAATGCCCAGGTATGACTGGCACTGCAGAGCCTGGCTCCTGAGAGCCATCTGTGCCTGCACCAAGGGGAATGAAATCTGGGCCTGGCCCTTTCACTCTGCTCTAATCTGGAATGGCCCAACTTAAATTTCCCTTCTGCTAGAGAACAGCAGGGAATGGCAAAGCCAAGCTGCCTGTGGAAGAGGGTAAGTGAGAGGACAGGGCAAGGATTTGCACATTGCCTTGGCCCTGAGTTCTACAACATCTTCCCACCCACACAAGGAGGTTCCAGGGCTCACCTGGTTTGGCAGGAGCTCTCTACTGGGGACACATAAAGGGTCCATATTCCAAGAGCAGCTGGCATGGTGAAGAGCACAGCTACCCAGCAGCAGGACACTATCAGTGACATGAAGAGGCCAAAGTCATGAACAGCTGGGATCTACATGAAGAGAAAACATGGAGCTGGGATCAACTGGGACAGGAGACCTGGAGAGACACCAGGCTAGGAAGAGACATCTGGAGGGACCTGAGAATAGCACCTGCTGACCTCAGTCATGGTAGCCAGCAAACCTGGTAGGTAAGGAGCTGAGCTGGAGCCTGAAGAGCCACTGGATCCCGTTTGATCAGTGGCATGGGAGATACTGCCTTGGATGCTGACAGAGGGAGACTGTCCACTGCCTTAGAGCAGGTAAGGGACAGCTCCAGGGCAAGCAAGCCCAGCACGTCCCCGTGCTGGGGCAGAGGAGAGAGAGACAGTGCTGGCAGCTTCCCTCTGGCAAAAACAGGCCTGAAATCCCAAAGGTGCAGTGTACCTGAGAGAAGATGTTGGCAGCATAGGCTGCAGCCGTGGTGAGGGAGGTGAAGAAGGTGGCCTTCCCTGCTGTCTGCACGGTGTGGATCATGCGCAGCCGCAGGTCCTTCAGGTGGGTGGCTTGGCGGTAGGTGTTGATGAACACAAAGACATCATCAACCCCTGGGGAAAGAGGGAGGAAGATTGTGATGCTGTGCTCACAGTAGATACTAAAAATCCAGTTTCTCCTCAACATCTGACCTGTAAATATTTTACTTAGAGGTGATGGAGGGAAAGGACTTGAAAATCCAACCTGCACTTGCCAGCCCCACCTTTCTCTCTCTGGCAAGCAGGAGTTGTGGCAAGACAGCCAGGTAGGTTCTGAACAAGGAGGTGCTTACCAATCCCCACGATGACAAAGGCAGCCACACCATTGAGTATTCCCAGGTACTGGATCCCAAACACCACGTGGTACAGGAACAGAGCCACCAGGCAGCTTAGCCCAATGCTGGCAATGCCAAAGAACGACAGGAACACTGGAGGAGCAAAGGAACAGGGAAAAAGTGGCATCAGTGATTGTCCCCAGGGAGAACAGACACATCCACCTGCTCTGTTGGGATCCTGGTTCCCAGGAGTGTGTTGGTGGCAGAATAGCTCAGGGCTGCTAGAGTACCACTTGCAGACACCTCCCCATGAGGTCCACCCATGAAATTATATTGGCTTTACTCCAGCACTAGCAAGGCAGGAATTTGCATCTTAGCCTTGTACTCCTTGAGCCTTCCCCACACACCACCCACAGATCTCTGCTCTGGGGAACCAGACTTGTGTGACCTCCTGCATGCTGCTGTGGCACAAAGCCAAGCTGGTGCCAGGGCACCAGAGCCTCTGCTGGGGCTTGTACAGACACTGGGAGCCCCTCTGGGATTTGTGAGAGCAGGGCAGCCACGACTGCAGCCTACCTGAGCACGAGGTAAGGATGTAGACCAAGACAGCTATGCAGCTACTGCTGATGAAGGCCAGCAACATGTCATTGTTAAAAGTCCTCCTCACTTCATAGTCAAACAAATCTGTCCCTCCATACAGCACCTGGACTTTGCTAGGGTGGGAAGATAGGAAGGAAAAGTAGTGGTCAGAGTTGAATGTAAAAGGAGCAGAGCCAGAGGATTTAAAGCACAATGTCTTCCCCAGAGCCAAAGGAGGTCACTGCTCTGATGAACTTGGCAGTTCTCTGAGGAGCCAGCTCAGAGTGGAGGGAGCAGGCTGAACAAGGCTCCTGCTGGAGGTGAACTTCACACAAAAAGGGAGAAAAATAAAAGAGCAGGTCTAAGATTTTTCAAATTATTCCAGTGAGTGTGTGGTGGGTCTTTGGCACTAACAGACAGCTCCTGAAGCCTTCAAAACCAATTCCACCTGGAATCCTAATCATTGCTTATTATACTGAGCACAAAGGTAATAACCAGCAGATGCAGGCAGAGAGAGAGCTTACCAGAGACCACATGATTGACCAGCTTCTGCTCCTGGAAGCAGGCTCTGAGCAGAAGTAATCCAAGATAATTTAAGCAGGAGTGCAACAACGCTGTGCCACAGGAGGCTATCAGGAAACCCAGCTTCAGAACTGATCCTGGCCCCCAATTCCCTTCCAGCATCATAACTGGACATCACTCTGCTTCTGAAGATCGCTGTGGGAGCTACTGGGACTCAGAGCAGGAGGGCACTGGAGATGGAGAAGGTGCTCTGACACTGGGACTCACTGCCTTCCCTCAGCTGGCAGGACACTGAGCTCCTCTTTAGCCCTTTTAGCTCTGTTTGACCAACTCCCTCTCCCAAGCACTGAGCAAAGCTCTGTTCAACCAGTCATACAGACCTGGTGGTGCAAAAAGTCTTCACTTCCTGGAGCTTATCCTGCCCTGAAACTCCCCTCCCCACCTCTTTGTACAAAGAGCTTCTGGATAAAATTTCACTGGCAAGAGCAAAAAGAGAATCAGATCCACAGATTGATGCCTGGAGTAAGGACCATTTCACCCCCTGCACTGGACCAGTTTGGGCCAAATTCAGAGCAGGAAGGCAGAGAAACAGCTCTGTTTGAGCCAGTGGAATTGGATGTGTGAGATGGAAGCAAACGGATCCAACAGCAGAGAGGGGCTGGGAGGAAAGGCAGGCACTGGATCCAGTCGTTGGCTCCCTTTCATTGTGTCTATTGTTGTCTCTGGGTGTTGCTGCAGTAAAGCCCAGGAGTGGTTTTGTGCCCTGGACTCCCCACCCTGACTCCAGCACTCTGCCCCAGCCCAGCTTCAAAGGACATGCATCTGCTCCTTCATCTGGAGCATCATGTCGTGGCCACTGCTCCAGAGTGAGCAGCAGTCTGAGCTGGCACTCAAGCCTCCTGTGCCTCCCAGGGGAGGCCAAATGCTGCAGGGCCACCACTGAGCCACCACTGAGAGGAGTAGGCACGTCTGCCCTGAGTAAACCCTAAGATGGAGCTTTTACACCCTGCAGGGCCAACTCCATCCCCTCCTTCAGAGCCACAGAAAGCCCCATCCTCTCCCACCTCTGCCCCTCCCTGCTCCTGAAGGAGCAGCAAGGCCCCTGTGCTGCCTGCAGATGCCCTCACCTGGTGGACTGCTTGGCCAGCATGGCCACGTAGGTGATGACAAAGTTCTGGAACTTGTGGCGCTGCTCCTCCCAGCGGTCCTCCACCGAGTAGTAGTTGGGGAGTGGGGCCCCAAAGAGGATCTCGCTCCTCAGCAGGGAGCTCTTCATGTTCTCAGCAGACAAGCTCTCGTCCACATACCAGTAGAACTCGGGGTGGGTCATGGCCAGCTCCAGGGACCCTGTGGGAGAGAGCAGCACCACTTTGGTTAGATCCTGCTTGGGTGGCTTGGCAAAGCATGGGGTCTAGTCTGGAAACTGGGAGTGATCCTGCCTTTCAGCGGGGTCTAGTCTGGCAAAGGGAAACTGGGAGTGATCCTGCCTTTCAGCAGAGTGAGTGCTGCTGCCTTGCTGAGAGCAAGGAGGGCTGAGGAAAGCAGGGCTGAAACGACTCACAGTGCCCTTCTGCTCTGGGGCTCTGCCCGTGGTGCTGCCTCCACGCAGCTCCCCATGAGGGACACACCTTCCACCCTCCTGTGCTCTGAGCCACAGCTCCCCCAGGCTGCAAGGCTCACAACATCCCCACCAGCCTCCCCCTGCTGGGGCACTTAGTTCCTGTACAGCAGGCCACCAACAGCAGGCAAGGAAGATGAGGAGTCCTGGCTCTGCTGTGACCTGGTACCTCTGCCACCTGACGGTGTGAGAGATGCAGAGATGGAGGCGCTCAGCTAGTTCTGAGGGAGAGACACTGCCTGTCTGCCCCTAGAGCCCACGTTCCCTTGAGTTCACTCCACAGAGACCCAGAACCCACACTCCTTTCCTGTTCTGGCAGCAGAACTGTTACACTGGAGCAGATGGAGTTAATCCTTTGCCTGCTCCCTGCATGGCTCCTGGACAGCTATCATCTGCAGCCTGGGAGACAGATGGAGCCTTCATCCCACAGGCACATCACACCCCCAGACTCCTCATGATTCACCTCTTTCCCACCACCCAGAGCCTCTGCTGCACACAGTACAGGGCACAGAGCCGGGAGGAGGCAGCAGGGCCTTCCTCCCCCTCTCCTTCCAGAAGCCTTTTCAGCTGCTGACTCACAAGCTGCCTTCCAAGCTTCAGAGCAGCCCACAGACCTCTTTCATCTGCTCTGAGGTGCAGGGAGGCTCAGCCCTGTTGTCTGTTGGAGATCTGACATTCCTCTGGTTAACCACAGCCGTTTAGAGGGGATGAGGGTCAGGAGAAGACAGTACAACCCATGACTCCCCCTCATTTGTCCCTCTCACTCGCCTGCTGGGGCCTGTGTGACCCACGACTGGAGCCAGAGGGGCTTTGCTGAAAGGGCTGGACAAGGGGCTTAGTGCAGGAAAGATGACTCGAGGCACAGCATGGCAGCACCTTCCTCTGCAGGAGGCAGTCACCCTTCTGAGCTGCATGCCAGTGGGTGCCTGAGCTTGCAGGAGATGTGTGCCTCAACCCAGCCCTCACCCACAGCCCGCAGCTCACCTCGGATGTCAGCCAGGTCTTGCCCCATGCCATCGTAGTAAATCTTCCCTCCCCTCTCCGTGGGGAAGAAATAGGTCATGAGGGAGCTGGGAGGGGAGCAGTAGGAGTAGGAGCCCAGGGGCAGGTCTTTCAAGACCTCGTGGGGCTTCCAGCAGAACTCCCTGAAGCGAGGGTGGTCCATGATCTTGCGCTCGACCTCGTGGATGGTGACCAGGCGCTCGGTGGTGAAGATGTTGTTCTCAGAGTCCCCCCTGGCCAGGAACACCAGCTCGATGCGCCAGTGGGCGTGGGTCTGGGTGTTGGCACTGACGTAGGTGCCAGGGTAGTCCCAGTGCGGGGCACTCCTCCCGT